ATAAATCTTATAAAGTTTGTATCTGTCTTGTGTGAAACTTGAATGAAAAGCATACAAGAGTGAAAACAGATACAAGATCCCTTGAAAAATTCTATAAATGAAACTTGTATGTTTTGGATACTTCCTAAAACAATATATGAAAGTGGCCACTTTCATGAGTAAATCATATAAGCCTTATATGATTCCCTATATGAAGTAGGCCACATCTTATGCAAGTCTTTTATAAGTTTTTACTATTTCTTTTCCATGTGGGTAAGCAGGGGGAAACCTTGAACAGAGCCTTTCAGAGAATTAAACCAAGAGAAAAAAATGCTGCTTGTCTCCACTTAGGCAGTCTACACGAGATATTTCTGTTGCTTCCAAGGTCACAGGAGATGCTGCATCGCGAGAGGTGTCACAGCTCCGTTATTTCCACATCTAAAGTTTCTAGATGAAGGCTTGGATACTTTCCTCTATTCACTCCTTTTACTGCAGTTTCCTTTTTTAAATTTAGCAAAGTAAACTGTGCCAGCTTCCGACACAGCGGCCCCCTCTCGCAGTCTTCCAGACTAAAACCAACAAACAGCGGGTTGAGATTTGGAGTATGAGGGCAGGTCAGTGATAAAACTATCTGGGACAGGAAACTAATCCCTCCACGTCCTCGGTGAGGCACAGATATTCTCCCAGGGATTTCTCATTAATGTGTTTTATAGCCTTCTTTAGGTAATAAGAACAATTTAATCCAAGATACCAATCATCTTCTTGGCAAAACATTCCAGTGACCAGCAGAAATATTTACATATGAAAAACTACAACAGATCCTATATGACCCAAGCGCTCTGTAAGTATTAGGCTGACTTATTCTCAGGGACTCTGGCTGATTTTTGCAGATCGCTGCTGCAGATCGATAGATTCCCACAGTCACATTTAGCATAAACACTAGCATCGTATACATTAAATAATCTGCAATTCATTACCAGACAATCTTCCCCTCATCCAATCTTCATGCTAAGCTACAGAGCTAGCTTTGTGATTTTACCATGCTGACAGGAGAGGGGGAGCAATCTTAGCTGGTTTTGACTGGTGTCGTCATGTATTTTAACTAGTTTTGACTCTGACTGGTCCTGTGATAGTCTGGTGACCTGCACAGGGTGTACCCGCCTACCTAAAACCAGACAACTGTCATTCCCGGGGTGTTGAGTACAGTTATTTCATAAAACCGCTGATATCGCAGACATAAGCAGGGTGTTGGTGCTGCAACACACAACGTCATGGCTAAAGATGCATTAAGACATGCATCACTTTCAATATGGATGCTAGTCCAGGATCAGTGCTATCATATTTAAAAACATTGGATAATCTTAGCATGAAAGGTTAGTCTTGCTCTTAAAGAAATCTATGGGGGTTTTTTTTGTTTTATTTAAAAAAAATCCAAAAAAAAGCACAAAAAGATGAAAACCAGTGAAAGGCAAAAATCTACACATCTCCAAAGAAGCAGAAGGAGGCAAAGAAAATGAAGGACTGAAACAAAGATATGACATGTGGGGGATGAACTGGGGATTAGGGACAGAACAGGGACAAGACAATCAGGATAGGTGACGACAAGACCCACGAGAAACCAACCATCAAAGTAAAACAGGAAATAAACAGAAGACGTATACTAAACATGATAACAGAGGAAGGAAGAGACAGAAACACGAGGGGGGTAGGCTGAAATAATAACAGAACCTGGGGTCACTAATTTCACAGGAGCCCATAAACCACACACTAAACACCACTAGAATGTCACTGAAATCAAACAAGAACCAGAATTCAAAAATATAATGATGAGAAAAATAATGGACAAATCCTAAATGTAATAATAAGTCCAACATAAAACCGCAGGAGCACGACAGGGAGACACGAACAGTGACCATGTGGCACAAATAAGAACTGAGACTTAAGCCATCTTATCAAAGGTATGTCTAAAAATACTGCCACTCATCACAAATGAATTACTTTCTCATTAATCTAATTACATTTATTACAGATCACCAAAATCCAATTAGCACTAGTATCAGAAGTCAGACTGTTAGAAATGTGTTAGCTGTCAGTGCAGCATTCACACACGAAAGTTTACATGGTTCAAGTACAGCAGTGGGAAAATAAATCACTGCCACATCCATCACGCTTGTGTATTTTGTGCATAAACAGGATGTGAGCAAGCTAATGACTTCGCATATGGCAGAACCAAACAGTTTAAAACCGCAGGCAGGAATTTCGAAGTCGCAGCGACCTACGGTAACAGCTGACAAGCCCTGGGCAACAGGCTTCAGTCCCGCGCGCAACGCTAAGAGATCGCTTTCTGAGCTGCTAATGAACACGTTCGGGATAATTATAGGCAAAAATCTGAGCCGCCGTAGCTCCGACACGGAGATGAACAAAAAAGAACCGCCCCGGGTTAAACATAAAGTCGAGCAGATAAATGAAAGACTTGTTTATTTTCTCCCGAAATGCTTCTGTTGTTTAGATTTCTCACAGACTTACAGGCATCAACTGCTCTGGATTGGCATTCGTAACGCTTCAGTTTCATTAGAGCCAGATATATTCAGCTGTCACAGGAGCTCTTAATGTTTAGTGATTATTGTGATATGCTGGGAGGCACAGAGTATGGTATAAAATAGCAACTTGTAGTAAAACCAGGAAAATGACTTGTATAAAACCCCACAGTGATGATTTACAGTAATGTCCCTGTAACACACACACAAGTCCTCATGCTTGTTAACATGATACAATGAATTTAATAAGACGATGTCAATGTTTAACTTACTATTATATCATTGTTATGCCTTTACTAAAGCTTACTTTGATACTCTGTTAAGGACATGTATTTAATAGCAGTTTAATATGAACTTATTGCCTAAAGAAACAAAAGGAAGCTTAACAGTGACATAACAGATGAATGAACACTCATTAACTTATTCTTATTAACTCATTATTTGGTAATAAGCTACTAATAATGACTATAACTGTAACTAATGGTTATCACGTAACGTTAAAAGTGTCGGACCAACTTTTGCTCCTTTCAGCATGAACTGTGACACACTGATCATAAAAGGCTTCCCCACCATCGGGTCGGCGAATTCTTTTGCCCTGTTCACCGCTGGGTGTGGAGCTGTAATTCAGCAGAAACTGAACAAACCTGCGTGCAAAGCTGGTGAGACGTGACAGTCGTGTGAGCTGAAGGTGGGCAGATAAACAGTGTGGTTTGCATTTTAAAGCGCAAACAGCTGTGATTACTTTGAGCAAACAAGGGCTGTAATTCTGAGTGTTCGTACAGGTACACTTTTTTTCGTAAGCAGATGAATCGTCAACTGTGTGGTCATTGCAGATTTGCAGTTGATGTAAACTATAGAAAACGAGTCATATTTAAGTAGAAAAACGTCAACTAATGTAACAGTGTGGCTCACAACCACATTTTTCATACTTTTTTTGGACAGGAACTGAACTTTATTGTAAACAAGAATGACAATTATCATACATTTGATACATAAACAATGGCTGTTAGTGCAGCTAACAGCTTTATATCTTCAGTATTATAAAGCTGCATTATTGCATCCTAATATTGCCTGCATGTGGAGCATCATGCTCTTAAGAGCTGCTGTGTTTTGGTCCCTTCTCTTTTACATTTAAAGTAAGACCTCAGTGTTTTAAAGCAAAAGTGTGCTTTTAAAGTTATCCTTTTGTGTTAGCGCCTTTCTTTTTGGCTGTTTGTTGCCAACTCAGCCAGCCGTAAATACACAACACTGACATGTTACCATGTTAAGCATTGAAGAAACATGATAATGTAAACATCCTGCAGACTGAGTAATATACTATCATTGATTTTTGGTTACGTTTTTTGGTGCAAATCCAATAGTTACACCATTTTTTGCTCCATTTTTGGTCTCAACCATCTCCTGATTGGAAATCTGACTATGTAGCCTCCAAATACTCCACTTTTTTGGCTAAATAGTTCTGCTCAGCACTGGAGATAGCCGCCTGGAGACAGGTTAATAAAAGTGACTCAACCAGCTGTAAACCTGTGGGAGGTAAAATCAAAACATTAAGCTGAAAAACACTAACACTTACTAGCTAATCTTTAATACATGTGTTACTATACAAAAGAAAGAAATGAATATGTGAGTAATAACGAAATGAAGCGTTAAAGAACTCACAGCAGAAGAGTGCAATTCAAATCTTTTAGCCAGACTAAATATGGTTTTGAGAACAGATCAATCCATGGGTATCTTGGCTATCTTATAAAAACGAGGTCTTTCGGATAACATGGTTACTTTTTGTCATTATTTTTGCTACAACCTGTGTTTTTTTTTGTGTTACAGATCAATATAACCTCTTTACTTTACACTGCAGTGTTTTTGGCCCTCCCTAAAAGCTCAAGTTTACCGACGTTTACTTCAGTTTGAGCCAAGCTGATGGGGAGGCCTTTGGTCAGCAAGATGCCCAGCAGAGGTAAAAGTTGCAAAAGGTTTTGACAGGTGGATCTGTGGAAGGATCAATAAAGACAGCTGATTACTTTCTCTCTGGATTACTGAGGGTTTCTCACCCCGTGTGTTTTTGACAGTGTGCGACTGAGGTGTTGGCTGGCGAGCTGTCGGCTCTCCTTTGGTCTCTACGTGGCTGCCATGCAGGTCACCTGGCGCCTGTGAGCCTGCTTTGTTTCCCCATGATCACCTAGGCCTAAATTAAACATTCATTGATAGATAAAAACAAATCACTTTCCAAACTGCTGAAGGCAACACAAGATTTGCCCTGGAACACTTTGGAAGATGTTTTAAAGAAGTGGGAGACACAAACCAATCGTCCTTCCATGTTTTTTTCTATCATAAAGAACCATGAGGATGTAATCTAATGCAGCTGTGCGTTTCTGAGTCAGCAACACAAATAAATGGTCTGAGCCACTTCCGGCGATGAAAAGAAATAACTGGGGGAAAAGACGCTCCTTTTATTTTCCACGGGGTCAGGAGAAGGAAGTGACTTACTGTCTTTAGGGGCAACGGGGCTGGACGTTCCACCCGCTGAGGTCCTTCCCACTGGGCTGGAATGCTTGGCCCCGCGCCCAGGGATTTTCAGTCCACTGGACTTGAGCATGTTCATTCTACGTTAGCAGGGAGACCTGAGAGTTCCTCCTTCCTGGGCGATGAAGGCTTTTGGATCAGGCACTAGATGTGGGAGTGGTGGCTGTCACTCTCCATGTTTTAGCTGTGGGGATGACAAATATATGGGATAAATACAAGAACGGCTGACAGCACGACAGCTAAACAAACACAGTGTGACATCAGATGTCCAACCCTGAGTGAATGGACCAGATTGTTGAAGCAGAACAAATGGAAACTGGTTTGACAACAAGTTTATCAGGAACACCTCTGCAATTTAATGCCCTCACACAGCACAGGGAAGCTGCTTTATACCAACAATTAAGTTTTGCGCACACTGATTTTTGTTGTTTTTGGCCAAGCGGTCATAATTCTACTTGACCTTTATTTCTGAGGTCATAGTGGGTGTTATTGTTGAACTGCTCTCCAACACACTGTAAGGTCGTCCTAACATTTTGCATGCAAAACACTGGCTCAGTGCAGAAACACAGGGATTGAAAGAGATCAGAAATTTCCTTTTTTGCATCTTCTTCTTCTTCCCTACAATCCACTGAAAATCGAACAATCTGAAAAGCAAAGATCACTTCTGGGTTTGGACTACTTGTGCCCACACAAAGCCATAACCTAACAATCCATCTATCATTTCTCTTAACTGCTCATCCAACTTACAGCCCTGGGAGGCTGGATCCAATCACAGCTCACACAGGGTGAAAATCTAACCTAACAGCTTCTCCAACTTACCAAAAGCTTTAGTGCCTAAATGTGATTTTCTTTTATGCAGCTTTCATCTATATATGTGGTCTTCCTTCTTCCTCAGGAGTCACACTGGGAGTTGATGACTTTTAAGAATCTGAAGAACTGGTAGTAGTTATAAATAATAAATGGATAGCGTTTATTAATACACGCCCGGAGACAGCAGCTCTCAGGTTGACACACTGATGTCAGCTGATGGCAGATTTTAGGCCTTGTGGGTGTTTTTGTTTATCAGGACATTTTCCTTTATATCGGTGGTTCTCGGTGTGTGAATTCTGTGACCCCAGAAGTCCATAGTCAAAAGGTCCACAAAATAATTTGCTATAAATCATAAAACTGCTTTATCACTTCAAAAGTGTACATCTGTAAATGTGGATTATTTATGTCAATTCAAAAAAATACGACTGCGACACATGATGTTACTCTCTAATGAAATTATTCACTTCACTCAGAGTGCAACGAACCATTCCTTAAGTATTTAGGTCAGAAATTTTTAGAATAAGATCTTAATTGCATCTCTGAGTACAAATGATGGTAAGGAACTGCACACTGTACAGACAGCTGGAACGGACCACTGACACATCATACCTCTCTGGATTGACCCATTTTTTCCACAAATGGTGAAACAGTACTTTATTTTACACAGCTGTGACTGAAAACACCTGAATTCAAAGATGAAGAGGTGTGGCCCAATACCTTTGTCCATATAGTGTTTCCAAAGCTTATTAGTACCGTGTCGTCATTCTTTTTGCATGCCTTTATAATTACTTAGACTTTCTCCACCTCCTTATGCATATTTTATGGGTGCAATTCATTGGCCAAATAAAAAGACAAATATTAAGTTTAATAATCATTTGAGTTCATTTTTGGAGATATGACAAAGATATTGATACAAAATTACGTAAATAAAATCTGGTATTGTGTCAGCCTTATTATGTCATAAGAGAGAGGCATTGCACTCAAAGAAACCTGAACTGCAATAGTAAAGATGTTAGAAGTTTAACTTCCAATTAAAAAAAAGCTTCTTTAAAATATGTTTAGAGCAACTTTTTAAGAGTTTGTTTACCTGGTGAGCTTGCACATGTATTTTTGTGCATTTTAAGAAGGGTAGACCTGCTTCTCCAACTCTATCCAGAGCACAATGCTTTATTTTTCCAATTTGGCACTGGCAATGTGGGATTCTTCTTTGATTAACAACAGCAGAAAAAACACTGAAGTAGAGACTGAAATGCATGTGTCCCACTGTTATTACTCATGCTACACTACTGCTGGAGTGCCACTGAGCAAAACATGATTAATCATGAGCCAAACACTGAAGCAGCACTGAGAGAACTTCCACAAGCATCGTGTTTTTGTCGATCTGTTGAACTATTTGGCACCTGCATAGCAATCCACACACATTTACATGTGTCACGGTAAATTACTGTCATCTACGCCCCACTGCTTCATACAATCATCCATGATCAACTTAGCAGTTTCAGCAGAGTCATAACAAGAGTGAAAACCAATGCAGGCCTTTGCCCAAGTAGAACATGGCCTACAAATCATGGCCCAGAGCCCATTAAGAAGATATAATGCCGTTATAGCCTACAATAAACAACACACATCTGGCTGAGGCTTTTAAACTAGACACTGGGCATTAGGAGGGACGGGGAACACATTCCAGCGTTGCCTAATCATTCTCCATTTTATTTACACTCATCCAGATAATAAAAAAAAAATGGAGAGGATATTCATTTTTGGATCAATCAGTCAGAGCAAACCAGCCGGGGATGATGGTTTTGATCTGAGTGGAGACACAAATAAAGGCCTCTGTCTGTGATATATCCTCAGCTCTTCCACATTAAAGCACAGAATCATTTCCCAATCCACACCTTGATTTCAGTGCAAACAGGAGAGAAGCAATGTGCTGATAATGCGCACCTCAACAAAATCTAACACAACGCCGGTTTGATCCATTGTTGTAGCTACTGCGGCAACGTGGTCTAGACTGTCCTTCACTTCACACCCCGAGTCCCCTCCCAGGGAGGAAATAAAAGCACAAAATGGCACAAAAGCGCGTAAAAATGCAGGAAAATACTCACCATCCTGTGAGAAAATTCAGGGGGTGTCCAACTTTGATTTCCTAGCCACGGGTGGAAAAAGAGGGGATTAGTGGCTGCCACTCCCTGGGATGCAAATATGGATGCTGAGCAGAAACTGAAAGGGAGAGTCAGCGTGGATCACTGGATGGATGGTGGCAACAACTGCACACTGTCAGCAATATACCGGTGATGGGTTAGCATGTAGCCTGCCGGTTCATCTCTAACAGCGTGTTAGCTCAGGCGGCTATACTGGAGCGAAGATAACGGACTTAAATGAGCCGAACGCTTGCACGCAGGTCCAGACGGTTCCCGGCATTAAACGCAGCATCAGCAACACTCAAAACCAACTTTTTCCGTTTTCTTTCCGCTGTGCCTCTAACTAAAAACGTCATCCGGTGGATGTATTTTTCGGCCTCTTCTTTCTCTTGTCGGTGTTCCCACAGTGATTTGGATTTGTTGGGTTAGCACAGCCTTCTTCTGACTGACTCAACCCACCGGCTAGACTGAACAAAGGGGCTGGGAAGGAGAGCCTCCTGGGGGAAAGATGAGTGTAGACCACAGTCTGGCTCAGCCCCGTGACGTACTCCGCTTACAATAATGAAGATTTAAGCTGGCCGGTCCTTATCAGTCTGAAAAGGTGACTCACAAAGCATGAGTCAGAGTTGTTTCCTGTCGTTGGTGCAACTTCTTTGATTCGGCATGAATAATACACAGAAAACAACATTTTTTCGCGCTAAAAATACTAATTTCTGAAGCTGCTTCATGCGTTCAAGCGACTTTCACAAGGTGAATCCATCGCCTAGCATTTTGGTAAAAATCAATTTTCTACACAAATTAAACTATAAAATAAACATTTTGTAGTATGCCGAACCGCAAAGCGATTTATATCGCAACAAATCCATACCCAAACTCACACAAAGCGGACTGAAATAAATCAAACAACACTGATAAACATAAATAGTAGAAACTCTAATGTAAGTTTTGAGTCACTGAGCCCAAACACCGGCCGGCTTGGTGTATAAACAGCCCACGCATGTATACGTGAGACGTTTGAAACACATAAAGTGTATGGAAGAATAATAGGGTCAGAATAACCTTAGGACACACTTTTATTAATTTATTATTTTTGGAAATTGTGGGCGGAGACAAAAAAAATCTTTATATGGATCGCGCGTGGTTTTCCGGTTGGATTTAGAACGCCCTGATTGGTCTGAGGAGTGAAATGACTTTTCCAAATAGGCTGTGATTGGTCCGCTTGTTTTTGGACTGCCTCGTTTGACAGCTGTCCGCCAAAGAGACCTCTAAAGTTGGATTGCACACTGATCTAATCCGCTCAGGTATTATGTAGTCCCTTTTTCATAAATAAACTGAGGTGTAGGTTCACAAAAAGATAAGAGGCTCTGACTTTTGGTTATTTTTTTATTTATGTTTTTTTTATCCATTCATATTTATTTTTTATTTTTATTTTTTTACATTTCGTGTCCCTTTTGAGACTGGGTTTACCTTTTTTCAGTTTAGTTTCTATTGTTTGAAAATTGTTTTTTCTTTTTCCTTTTATTTGTATTGCATTATTACTGCTAAAGCTCCCCCTCGGCATATAGGGGGCGCCCTGGGGCGCCTCTGTCAGTGCGCCCCAGGGCAGCTGTGGCTACAATGTAGCTTGCCATCACCAGTGTGTGAATGTGTGTGTGAATGGGTGAATGACTGAATGTGTAAAGCGCTTTGGGGTCCTCAGGAACTAGTAAAGCGCTATACAAATATAGGCCATTTACCATATAAGCAACTGAAAACTTTACTGGTTTATCTAGTGCAAAAATTAATTGATTTACACATTAATGACCCTAATTATAACCCAGTAACACAATACAGTTTAAAAAGAGCTATTCTACATAATGAGTGCTTTTAGTTAAGCTATTTTGATGATAAAAACTTTACTCTTGTAATGACACTCACTCAAACATTTACATCTGCACCACCAGTGTAAAAGCTGTAGAAGAAATCAAATATCTGGAAAAATTAATGAGGTTAAAAACACATAAATGGTGCTATCAGAACAGACTTTTGAAAACTTCCTGATGCGTTTAGATTTCATCTAGAAAACTTTTAAATAAACTATTTTTTTGTTGGATCGCTGAACTGCTTAGTTAGTTAAAATCCTGGTTTTTGCGTCTCTGTGTGCTTTGCTGTGCCCCTGGTGTTTCTGGATTGTGACTGTGTGGTTCCTCTGCACAGATCACTGGATTCTCTTCCCTGGTGTGGTAAGCCTGACCGTGAGTTGAGGGAGAATTACCTTTAAATACTGGATGTGTGGATTCCCTACATCCCTGGACCCCCTAGAGCAGTATTCCCCTTTGCCTTGTGTCTTTGTATAAATGTATTCTTTCACTGTAAATAAAAAAAGAGTCCCACATGCCTGTTAGCCATGAAAAGGAAGTTTTACAAAAGAATTTAAGTCAAAACTTTACAACCGTTTAACCAAATATCTAATCAGCCAATAACCAGACTTACAGCTGATAGTAACTTAAATAATCAGTTGTTACAATCAAAGTATGCAGCACATCAGATGGGCTACAGCAGCAGAAGACCACACCAGGTGCCACTCCTGTTAGCTTTATAAGATTGCTTTTAAAAGTGTTGAAAAAACAGCCCAACAGGACACAAAACATAAACAAAAAAGTGTTTTACAGCACAATTACAATTGCTGGTCAATTTAAATTTATGATCATGAACCATTTATGTTTAACTGTTTTAACTGAGTGGCTTTCTGTACCCTGTATTCATAATTGTTTAGGATATATTGGTTTGCTTAATATTTACTTGGTGGTCAGCGCAACAAGATGGTCACAGCAAGATGGTCTTGGGTTTGAATCCACCATCTGGCATTTCTGTGCATATCTGTGTAGATTAACCGTGGGTACTCTGGCTTCCTCCCATGCAGCTGGTGGGGTTTAGTTAATCAGTGATTCTAAATTACCCATAGATGTTTCTTTCTGTGTTGGTCCTGTAACGCTGTTAACAGGACCAACATTAACACGCTGTTAATCAGTTACAAATCAGTTCCTCTTGTCCTGTAGCAGCTGAAATAGGCCTCTAGCTATATATTTGAATGAAAGTCTACCTGTTTGCTGCATTTTCTTCTAGTGACCACTTGAGGGCACCACAACAAACCTTTTGCTCTACAGGAGATTCTGGAAGCTCAGTGAGAAATTAGTGATACTGTGCACTGTTGTTTTTCTTCCAATTGTTTACACAGTAATGGTAAATGGCCTGTATTTGTATAGCGCTTTTCTAGTCCCTAAGGACCCCAAAGCGCTTTACACAACCTGTCATCCACACATTCACACACTGGAATTCAGTACTCCACCTGTGGGAGACCACACTTTGGCAACCACTGGTAGGGTATTGCATTAAAAGTGGGCAATTATTAATTAGGTTAATTTTTAAAAGTTATTTCACATTGCTGGTTTTGACACTTGTTTAATACTTTGAATTCAGAGTTAATATACCAACGTTTTCTGTTTAGGTTCAGTTATTTGTCCTGTTTGTAAAGTTTATATTTCTGTGTTTATTTTGTTTTGTCTGTAGATTCATCCTATTCTACATCCTACTTGTACTTGTGGTTATTCTGAGTCTATTCTTTTGATTTAAGGTTTAACTTTTACTTTCTGTTTTCTAGGTACCCTCCCTCTGTTTAAGCCTGGGTTCCTTTTGTTTCCTTGGTTAGTTCCTGTTTTACTTTGAAAGGTTATTTCTTTTTTGTCCTGTGTCAGTTTTGTTTCCTGATTTGTCTTCTCCTGTTTTCACTTGTTGTTGTGTTGTGCACCTATGCACTTATTACTCACCTGCTGGACATGAGACGTGTCAGATAACTCCCAGAATCACTAGACAATGATCAGCCTTTGAGGTGAGGGTTAACTTTCTCATCAATGCCAGTATCACACATTTCACTGATGCCAAAAAAAGGTGCACGTCATAGCAATATTACTGAGTCCACAGTTAGAACAACCGACATCAGCAGCACTGGGACATGAAATCCCACGAAATAAAGCAAACATTGGCAGATGCAACCAGCAGATACTGGCCACCATGATTTTCTTCCCACACAAATTACAACAACTGCTGCTTGCAGTGCTTTGCAATAATCACTTTCAACTTGGTGAAACGTTTAAAAACTAAACTAAAACTGAGAATCTGATTGGTTGGTCATCACCATCTACTCATCAATGTCATAGTTGTAGCATCTTCCACAGACAACATCAACAGAGTTTTCCGCTTCAGAAATTCCCTCTTAAGTGTTTTAATCAATTAAAATGTTAAAATTCAGCTGCCTTCATATACAGGAAGAGGAAATGTATTGCTTTGAAAATATCTTTTCAAAATAACTTTGATGGAATTTTCTGCTTTTCTTCCTGAAAAAAGGCCCTTCATTTGTACTCTCTAGCTTTCAATTATGACTAGTCTTTTATAGTAATTACTATGTATGTTTACTATTTGATCTCTACTATGTACAGCACAACCCGTGTTGTTTTTAAATGTGCTTATAAATATATTTTGATATTTTTTATTTGATCTTACAACTCCCAGAGACCAGCCATTTGGCTCTCTTTGGTTAAGTTAGTATATTAAGCATGGCAAGTTCAACCTGAGGTTTGGCGCCCTCTTCTGGGGTTAACAGGAAGTTTGTATACTAGTATGTGGACCTTTTATCAATATACACACCAAATGAACATTAAGAGAGATGATGTTTGTTGTTATAATTACGTAAAATCTCACAGAGTGCACTTGGTGTAAGCAATTAGAAAAAAGGGTCAAAAGTGTATTTCAAAATGTATCTGAAGCTACATGTGGCATAGCAGCCTATGTTAGGCAACTGAACTGAGCATCTTTCAAAGATTTTTAACCTAAATCTGAACTTACACACTATCAGGTACTTGACTTGGCTTACATGGATGGATCGATGGATGGAAATATGATCGTAGGCAGAGACAGTATAAGAGACGAAACCGCACGCAAAGACAAAACCTTTTAAAAACAATTAAATTCATTCAGATGAATTTCTTCTCAGATGTTTTTATAGGCTGTTTATTTACACAGCACCAGCTCACAGCACCAGCTCACAACAACAGCGGCGTCAGCAACTGCTTTTCAATACGAGGAAAAGACTCCATAACACTGTGAGCAAGCACTTGGCGACTGTGGGAAGGAAGAACTCACTTCAAACAGGAAGAAACCTCCAGCAGAAGCAAACTCAGACAGGGTTAGCGATCTGCTGCCACAGGTTTGGGGGCTGAGGGGAAAGATAAGAGAGAAATTGTTCATTGCATCATTGGAAGCCCTTCAACAACCTGCGAGTCAAAGATACTGAGATAATGCTCTAAAGCAGCGGTCCCCAACCCCCGGGCATCGTACTGGTACCGGTCCGTGAGTCGTTTGGTACCGGGCTGCGAGAGTTGAGGCTCAGGTGTGAAATGTATGGTTTTCAGGGTTTTCAGCGTTATTTTGTTATCGTTTTGATCGTTAATTCGGTTTTCCTGGGTCTTTTCACATGTTTTATGAATAAATCTTCTTTTTTTTCGGTACCGGTACTAGTTTTATTTTGTTGTATTTATCCGCGACACAATAAAGGCCGGTCCGTGAAAATATTGTCGGGCATAAACCGGTCCGTGGCGCAAAAAAGGTTGGAGACCGCTGCTCTAAAGGGCTTCCTTAATTTTACTGCTGAAACTTGTGCCGCTGAGATGCGAGACTTGATTTGTTCTTCAGCACTTCAAACCACTGAGACCTGACTCACTCAACCCCATCTGACATTTCTTGGATAAACTGTGAGCCTTATTACAGCATCAATAGGCTCACTAATGTGCCTGAGGAGAATGGGAGCAAATCCCCATAGCCGGGCTCTAAAATACCTTCCCAGAGTTGTTTAGGTTATTATAACAGAAGATTAACACTGAGAGTTCAAATGACGTGTTCAGCAGCTACTTATGGGTATGATGTGTAGCTGTCCGCATACTATTGCTCATATAGTCGAGTCAAAGCTTAAGCATTTCCCAGATTAGTGGTGTCAGTTCATTATATTTATATAGCACAGTGAGGTATACAAGCCATCTACATAATAATATTAATAGAATAGACCGCAAAGGACTATGAAAAAATGCAAATCGTGATATCCGCCAAACATAGAAAAGGCATCAGCATGACAGCAAATAGACAAGGAGTAAGAACATTTATTAAAAATGTTATTAAGCTGAAAGAAATACACTAACCAAGTGCATTTTTTTTAAGATATCGAGAGAGGTAGAGGGGGACCAAATACAGTTACCTCAGCTGTGCTATGATTTAGTTGAAGGAAATCCATTCAGGATTTTAAATCATCCAGACAGTCAGAAGTGTTTTTCATTAAGTAGGTGCTGTCGAGTGTAGCAGGTAGATAAAAGTGAGCAGAAATGCACAGTAGTGGCAGAATATTTTATTTCTTAAAGACAGAATAAATAAAAGAGGGCCTATCATATTGTGCATACATTTGCATACTGTTATGGAGTGATTTATAAAGTTGTGATAGGAACAGTTTCATATTCTTTGGCTCTTTTCATTAATTCACAGAAAGTATGCACCAGTCAGAGTCACAAGAGTATAACAAAGGGTCACAGGCTGACCTGAGCTGCCACATTAATATGCAGCGTGCCCAGATAATGCCTTTCTGTGCTTTGTAATAATGGCTCAGTGTTTCTGAGTGTGTGGACGTTGCCCCCTCAGCCTGCTTTGGAGGGGAAGTGACTGGATTATGCTCTAATCCCATTATGATGCCGCTGCCATGTGAGGGCCGACTGGAAGGATTAGAAACTGAGGGCTCAACTTCGACAAACCAGCTGACTGTAATGACTGCTCATGCACACTCTTATGGTGCGTGTCAACAGCTTACACGGCACTGACCAACAAGGAAGGACCATCCCTCTCGTCTATCAGCAGTAGATCCACCTCCATGGTAACCATGGTAGGTATCATTTGCTTTTGTAATTTTCTGCCTCTGTGCATCAACAGCCTTCAGACTGGCAAGCCTGAAAACATTTGATAAATGATGATAGGCAGAAGCCGGCCAAGTCTGGTGTCAGCCTCACCCAGAAGTAATATATTACGGCAGCATCGGCGTAACTTTGTGCTGAACATTGGGGGGATCGAGATCTCTGTCTAAATAAATAAATAAATCTGGGTAAATTCCCAGATGATTAAACATGCAACTATTTTGCTGGTAATACCTGAAATGAGCAAAGAAAATCAACAGCCTATTTATGCAAGATAATTCATAATTTTATTGGGGGGGGTGTTATATTGGTTGTGTCTGATTATTGGGGGATCATAACCCCCCTGACCCCCCTGGAAATTACGCCACTGTATGGCAGGTTTGAGTGTGGATGGTGGGAGATGCCATGAAAATGTTTTCTGATTGATTAAAATTTGCATTTAAACATAAATAAAGTATAAGATGATAACGCCTGAACTTTAAAACAGAACTGCAGAATTAATTCATTTGGGAAATTTGCTGGTTTTGTGTCTGATGTTCATGCTTTACAAATTCTGTGTTATATATACACCTCCTATTTAATATAAAGGCAGCTAAAAATAAAATGACAACTTGGAGGAAGTCATTAGTTGCCTCTAAAAACATATTTATTTATTTACAAAATTACCTTTAGTTAGCAAATTGTTTTACATTAAATTTACTCTATTTATAAATCATTTTTTCTCTGTGTAAAACTTACTACTTTACATAGCATTTTTTGTAACATAGCATTTTATAATATTTTTTTATTTCAACTTGTTGAGTTCCTATATTAGATTTTTCAAATTTTTTGTATCTATTTTATCTTTATTCTTTTCTTTTGTGTACATTTGACCTTGTTGAGTTATTTCTTATATGCTATATCTTGGCTATCTTAGCTTAGTTTAGCTTAACTTAGCTTAGTTTAGCTTAGCTTAGCCTAGCTTAGCATATCCCCTAATCATAGCTATAGCTAGCTAACTAGGTATAACACATTCTTGTTGCTTTAGGCAACATATAATCATATTATATAATAAAATCACATAAATTACAACAATATTTCAAAACATTAGCACCACTAAATTCAGCTAATATCTAATATAAAATTGGGCAAAACTATTTTAAATGTAAAGAAATAAGTTGCTTTAATGAGACAAGCTGGTTGGTTGACTTTTTGGCTACCTTGCCTGAACATAAAACGCCAAAAGGTTTGTGACTGTATGCAACCAGCATTACTTCTTTGTTTATTGCTCAGTTATAACATGTTGGCATGTAACACTGGGTAGCACACTGGATATATAATCATTGATTTACCTCTTACTGGAAGTAGTTTTTTTTTCTTGATCAGGTTTTCATATTATGATTGTTTTAAGCCTCTGGACTAAATATATAAACATTAGATAATTTTGAAACTGATCATTTGTGTCTCATTTTTGTAAAAAAAATAATTTCAGTCAAAAAAAATATGAGGAAAGTCTTCATGATATTTCTAAAACATAAACAACAAGTGTTAAAAGTAGAAAGAGAACCCAACTTAGGCAAACGAAGTCGAAATTAGAATTCCTGAGAAGGACATTTGCCCTGTAGCTGTAATATAAGAGGTCAAAACATGTCTCTGCATAAAAAAACAACCCTGAGTAAATTGAGCAGATTAATATGAAACTAAAACGATTTCTGCTGGGAACCCCACACTTGCAAAATATGAAATTAAATAAAATTAATAAAAAATATGCTTTTTTTCCATCGTCCTTTTGTAACGTTTATCACCTGAGGGTGTTTTATTTCATTGCTCATTTTAATTAAAAATGCAAAGAAGTGCTCACAAGCATTTTTTTCTTGAAATTTCTGCAGAGTGAGCTGGATGTTTTTTCCAGTTCCATAAAAGGATGACTGATTTAGGCGCTTTTCTTGATGATTACACGTTTCGTTAATTTCACTTACAAAAAGCTAATGAAACTCCTGAAACTGTTTCTCTCTCACACACACAGGGGTCCACAGTACCTTTAGTTTTTGGGTCAGCCTGTTGCCGCCAACATACCAAAGGTCTGTTTTGGAGAAATGACAGATGAGAGAATGATTAAGCTGTCTGACCAACCGGGATATGTGTGTCACACAGATGTCAGTGTGTATACATGACAGTAGGTGAAGGTCTGGATGAGGGACAGAGATACGCAAACACGCGACACAGATGAGACGGTGATAGAGACACAATGTTCAGGAACACTGGCATCTCTTATCCTTCTCTGTTGTTGTTTTAAAGTGGATAGCCTGCAACAGGCAGTCCAGAGGACTGTATTTCTTCTTCTCTCATTTCTGAAAGAAGTATTTTTTTCCCCTTCTTGGCTCCCTCAGTCTAATCTAAGCAGCAGCAGAGTAAGTGGCATTTTAAAAGTACAGCAGCTGTGACTATGTCAAGGTCTGAGGAAGCAGTCAGAGTCTGATACAGCAAGAAAAAGGCAACATTTTCTCTACTGGAGAAGCAGGAGCAGGTTCAACAGAAATACCAGTGGTGAATCTAATCTGTGCAGGCTGCAGGCTCTGCTCTGTCTTCATCCTCTACCTCCTCATCCTCCGCTCCAGCTGCAACTTCACACCCTGCAGCAAAGGAAAAAATCTTCGACTAGTTCAGCGCCTGGCTGTTCTATAACCTGCAGCACTCTCAGGTAAATGCATGGAAGTGAGCTGTGTGTGTTGTCACTGTTTATTCAGGAGGAAGGATGTGTGGACTGCAAAACTGAATCAATGTAACACCTCACAAAAATTGACTTTGACAGTGAATGAAGAATTTAGCTATTATAAATGTGGCTTAGATGCCAATTAAGGATTTAAGTATCCGTTTCACATTATTTTTTACAGGACATAGTTGCCTTTGGGAAGGGCATCTGTCAAATCTCACATGTGGAGCTACCCACTGTGGTGACCCTGTCCGAATAAGGGAACAGAGCAAAGTTTGTCAATAAATTTAAAGGTTTTCAATGAATACTTGAATTTCTTTACACTTAAAGAACGCTGATTTGTTTTTTGGTGGGTTACTGTGCATTGGTTTTAGTGGTGTGAACTGTATGAACTAAAATTACTTTGATTTCTCTGGTGGGAATATTGTTCAAACAGCCAGTGTCACCTGCCACTGTGTCAGCGGTAGATTACACAGATAATACTTGAACTGAACCTTTCTAGTCATTCACGAAACACAAACTGGACCAAATAGGACAGAATAAGAAATCTGTATGTGAACATGATCCAGAATGGCCGATGATTTCTTTGAGTCAGAACTCATTTAATAAGGACAGAGGCAAACTGTAAATCTGTTCTGTGGTCTGTGGTTCTTTTTGTAAAACATGGATGCCATGTCCTCTGGACTAAACAGGAAAAATGGTACGTGCTTTACTACCTCTGGAGTTGGTAGCTTGGTTCTATGCAAAGTTCAATACATGTTGCCATTCAGATGACACCTGTATCAGTGAAGGCTTTTCATACCTCAGAGTGACAACATCCCTCTCCCGAAAGTCCAGACTTGTTAAAAGAAGACAGGGCACTGTATAGAAGTAAATGTGCCCCTGTTCCCCGTATTTTATACCCCTTAGTATCAACAGAGCAGCGCAGAAACACCACAGTTTACCTGAGTATCACTGACTGTGTCCATGCCTTCGTGACCACAGTCTACTAATGGCTGCTTCCAGCTTGATATCGCACCAGGTCACAAAGCTTGAATGATCCCAAACTGGCTCCTTGAACCTCCACAGCCATCAGATCTCAATCCACTAGAACACCTTTTGGGATATGGTGCACATCAAAGATTTGCATCATAGATGTGCGGCCAACCAATCAGCTGAAAGTAAAAAAGCACAGTTAAAATGTTAGCATGGATCAGAATCTCTAAGCACTGTTTCCAGCACCTTGAATCAAACCCAGAACTAACAAAGTGTACATAAGTGTGCATGGCCGGTGAGTGTATGAGAAATGAAATGTAATGATGTTCATCTGAATGCTGCTTAGCTTCCTCTCCTGTGAATACAAGGTTAGCATTAAACTTAAAACGTTCAAGTTACAATAAACTGTAACTGAAAATCCAAGCTACTCTGCACACAACACTTGAACTAAATGACATTAACAAAATGTGAGAAATGAAGAACTAAAAACAAAACCCTCTTTGATTTAGGCTACTTTTAATTAGCTAGTATAACTGGTTAGCTTGCTACCTGACAATGCTAAAGCTAAAACTAATTCTAAAACTAAAGAAAAAAAGCAATAAAGTTTTAAAGTATTATCTAAAATATGAATCTTACTCTGTAAAATCATCATGAATGTTATATCATCTAGTATTTTACAACTTTTCTCTATTAGCATACTTAGCAAGCTAACAAAACTAAAGCCTGTTTTTTTAATATTACAACCTGATATTTTTAGGCAATAAATCTCCATTTAAAAAAAGCACATATAACAAAAATATTTACTATATTTTGTATAGTAATGTGACCAAATTACAGCTATTGTAATTACATTTCTTTAACCAATATTTTTCAGCTAATTAATGAGAATTTTATATAATTTAGTTTAACTGGTTGCCTTGGGTTTTTTGCAGTTATGACAAAATTATTATTTAGTATTCATTTATTTATAGTATTTAATTAAATATTTCTGTGGGTTTTGCAGGAGCTCGTCTCTTCTGGTTGCTTCTGGGTGATCACAGTTACGGCTATGGCATCAGCAGCTCTGGAGCTGATGGGCTTCTTCCTGGGCTTACTGGGGATGCTGGGGACCCTGGTGGCCACAGTACTTCCATACTGGCAGATTTCTGCACACGTTGGTTCCAATATTGTCACAGCTGTGGATAACATGCGGGGCCTGTGGATGGAGTGCGTCTATCAGAGCACGGGGGCCTTCCAATGTGAGACCTACAACTCAATGCTGGCTTTGCCTTCGGACCTGCAGGCTGCTCGTGCCCTCATGGTCATCTCCATAGTGTTGTCTATCCTTGCAATTGCTATGGCAACTCTGGGAATGCAGTGCACGCTTTGCTTGGAGAGCTCTGGTGGGGTTAAGAGTCGTGTCGCCGGTGCAGGTGGGGTGTTATTTGTCTTTGCAGGCTTTCTGGCTCTCGTACCCGTGGCGTGGACCACACACGAGGTGGTTAAGACCTTCTACCTTCCAAACGTACCTCAAAGCATGAAGTATGAACTCGGAGAGTGCCTATACACTGGGCTGGCCTCTGCACTCATTTCCATGCTGGGTGGGGGGATGCTATGTGTGTCATGTTGTGAAGAGCAGGAAGGCGGCCGTGGGAGACGCCACGGAGGCGGATATCCGTACCCAGTAGGAGGCGGCATATCGAGCACAGGTGTACGAACAACCTCACAGACCTACCGCAACCCCACCCTGCAGGTGGGGGGTATCAATACCCCCAGCAGGGGGCAGACACTAATTCGTAGTGCAAGTGGCAGTTCAGAGTCGGGTACGCATGGAGCCCAACGAGCTAGGAAGCCCACTGCAGCAGGATATGACATCACAGGATATGTCTGAGGGGTCCACCTGTCCATTACACCTTTAACTGTAACTGCCTCACAGCTTAAGTTTAATAAATGTATTCTTATAGTGTATCTAAATGAATGCACATTGTCAGTGTTTGCTGGATTTTTTTGAGAAGCAATTGTGAAATTTCAACAAAATTACACAGCAGAACTATTAAAGTTGTGTTTCTGTACTTGTTTGACCTGTTCTCTATAGTTTTCACACGTTTGCATTGATAGAAAATTGTCACTTTTTATCTTTATTATCAGTCTTTTACTATCCTTGTGAAATATAAACAAAGTAGACAAAAATGTAGGAAAAATACATGAAGACATTGTCAATAAAAACAGTATATGAATGGTTTTCATTACGTGAACGTGTTCTCATTAGCTACATAGATGCCTAGCTTTTGCTGCATGTGCAAAAATCTGACTAAAAGTTTTCTACATAGCAGCCAAAATGGATGTTTCTAATCTAAATCAGAAAGAATACTTCTCACAGTACTGTATTACCTGAAACCGATGTTGGACTGTGCCTGCAAAATGTAAACTATAACTATAAATTGTATTAATTTCCATCCTATTTGAAAATTTGAATGCATTTTCAAAAAATTACAAGTGCCTTGTACATTAATATCAGTGTATCACAATGGGATTTCCAGTCATGCAAAATATAAAGAATATTTGTTAAATTTGAAAAGAGAAAATCATGATATTAATGTCTTTAATCTGAATCCTTTGTAACAACCAACAAGGGGCAAATTAAGCTTGTATAGAAGTCCCCCTATATGATTCCCTTAGCAAAGACTTTACTGATGACCTTATGAGTCTCACTGAATACAATTCAAAAGAGCAATAAATCAGTGTACGCTTCAAGTTAGGAAGTCTTCACAGCACTTTGAAATTCATCATCTCAAAGCTTTAAAAACTGGACTTTGCAAACCAATGGGTGACAGCACGATGGCTGCATCCATCCTTTATATACAGTCTATGTGTACATTGACGACGACACAATGAAGTTGGAGTTTTTCGCTGGACAAACTCTGTGATGACACCATTTTTAAATGACCACAAGCATCCTTTTCTGCATTGTACTCTTTTGTATTTGGAAATAAATGTAAACTTTTCCTACACGCCTTTTGCAGAGCTTTTCTTTCCTCCTACACTGCTTTTTCCCTCAGAATGGTTTTGCAGATACTAAAGACAGAAGCAAATGTACTGACCTAAATGAAAAGCACGGGTTAAACTAGTATACGCTGCTAAAAAAATATTAAAGGAACACGTTTTAATCCGAGTTTACCATCGAGTCTTAAACCTCTGTGATATTAATCTGGTCGTTTAAGTTGCAGACTGGGTGTTAATCAGTTTCAGCCGCTTTGGTGTTAATGAAATTAACAACAGGTGCACTAGAGGGGCAACAATGAGACAACAGGTGGAGGCCGGTGACATTTTTTCCCTTCCTCATGTTTACGGACTGCGTTTTTTCACTAGATTTGCATTTGGATAGAGTCAGTGTCACTGATGTTGCACATGCAGTCCAACTCCTCCAGGATGACACACCAATATGCTTCATTGCCAGGTTTGCTGTGTCTCCCAGTGCAGTCTCAAGAGCATGGAGGAGATTCTGGGAGACAGGTAGTTACTCTAGGAGAGCTACAAAATGACCTCTGGCAGGCCACTGGTGTGAATGTCTGACCAAACAATCAGAAACTTTGTGAGGGTGGCCTGAGGGCTCGACATCCTCTACTGGGCCCTGTGCCTGGCAATGTGGAATTGTGGCAACCTGTACTTGGGAGGACATGCGACACACGGGAAAGGGTTTGGAAAGGCTGTGGAGAACATTATGCTGCCTGTAATATAATCCAGCATGACTGGTTTGGTGGTGGGTCAGTGATGGTCTCGGGGTCACTGAGTGACCCATGTGCTCGCCTAACATAAACTCAACCACATAGCATCCATTTGTTCCAAACACACTACCCAGTCCATACCAGTAAAGATATCCAGCATGATTTTTTCCCCCATTGAGATCTGATGTGCTTTCAAAGTGGTTTTGCAGGGACTGTAGACAGAAGCAAACGTATTGACCGAAAGGAAAAGCACAGGTTAATCAATAATGGCTCTGATGCATCAGGTGTCCACAGCAGTGAGTCAGCCTGTGCCAGTGTTTGATGAATAAACAGTGTGACTTCCATGAACTGCTTTAAAGAAAGCATTTAGAGATGTAACTTTTCTTAAATAATTACTCTGAAGCTGACAAATAGGTGTGACATAACCATTAGAAATAAAGCAGACTATCTGACACTTGAATGGCCTTTTAAATTGCAGCAGTTAATATTTAAAGACTGCTTGTTGTTTGCGTTTAGGCTGCTGTTTTCCCATTTTCTGAACGGGAAAAAGATTGCAGCCCTGAACCGAGGGCAAACAGAAATCCAACACAAACAGACCTAAACAAACAAAACCCTCACTTTAGTCCGATCAATAAGCAGTTTGAGTTTGACTAATAGCTGCATTGTGAGACCGCTCACTGGGTCAGTTTGCATCCACCAAAATGCGATAAAGGCTCTGAGATCTGAGGCGTGAAAAGTTGCCTCAAACGAGTCTTTCTGCCCTTTTAGCCAAAGTCAGCTTTAATGTCAACTAGAATGAATCCAAAATATTAATTACACACAACATATATCAGCGTATTTGTAACTTCTGTTTATGCATAAAATTATTAGATGTACAAGGACTCTTAAAGCTATATACATTATTGCAAGTCTACATTACAGTGCAAGTGATACTGAACAGACATGCACACTGTGGGGGACACCAGTGAGGATTTCTGTTCATTTCAAGTTTTAACCTAAAATCCTGCACACCACAATCCCCTGACCCCAAACATATTTGAGCAAGAGAACGCCGTAGATAAGTAGACAGAGAGCACGCACACCAAGGCTGTGTGAAAGACAAACTCAAAACACACTTTGAACCCTCCTGAGCACCCCTGTGTCACAGAGGTGCACGCAGCTCTTATGGGAATGTAAACACCTTGTGAATGAGGTCTGTCTCTGTTACTGCTGTTACTCAGAGACACCTGCTGTAAATAAAGGTTGTAGACATTTCCACAGGGGAGATGATACATACACCGTTCTATCAGCATGAACCTGGACTAACGCTGGGTCTGAGAGAGCAATTAACTGCTGCGAGAGCTCATTGACTCTCACGCAGAGAACATTTTATGATCCAAGAACTAAGGAATTACTCAACAGTGCTCTACAGTAACCAAATAAATATACTGAAGATACCAGCTGACCGACCAATACAGCATGAGAAAGAACATAATCATAATGTGTCGGTTTACTAAGAGAAACAAAAAAAAGGATTGATTGGGTTCATTCAGCTTCCAAAAATGAATCTTATATTTGTAATGTGACATAAATCATCAGGTTAACTGGAGTTTAATATGAAGTACCCCTCCACATAATGTACTTTCTGTTGTTTATATTTTATTGTACTTATATGAAATTAAAATATCATTGAATTCAAACTATTAGAAAAAGTGAAATGTTTTACTCCATAGGAGTGCCTGCAAACTTACTTTTGGCTTAACAGCAAAGGAAGTGCAGCTTAGAGCTGCTGCACACTAACAAGATGAGAACAAGAACAAAAAAAAATGTTTAGTTTAAATTAGTTTCCTTTTTTATTATCTGTCAGGGGAATGCTTTTAGATGTTCAGAAGAGTGCAAAAAAGAGTCCAATATAGCACCCCAAAGTAAACATACCACATGCTGGCTGTGACAGAGAGTAAAACTATTGTTTCCTGCTTATTTCTTTTATTTTTGTTAGTTTCATAAAATAATTTCTAAAGTCTAGTTTTTACTTTTATTTAAGTTAACAAAAAATGTTTTTTTTTCAACCTTGATTTTAGTTTTTAGTCTCTCAAAAAGCTGCTACTTCATATCCAGTCAACTTCTCTTAACCTTAATGACCGAATGGCTCCATCTAGTGCCCACATATGGAATAGCAGTAAACTCACACCTAAACCACTAATGAAACCTTCACAGAAGCCCTGCGTGTTAAACTGCAGTGGAAAATAAAGCAGCTGTAAGAAAATGTATATAAGCTGAAAACTGTGGATTGTGTGCATCGACTAGGACTGCTTGCTCAGTTAGTTTCACAACAAAAAAAGACATTTAAAAAAAAATCTTGCTACAAGTCATAAAATAATTATTGCTTTAAATAATCTAGAAAGAGAACATTTGATAAACTCTAAAGTAGATACAGTAATGATGTGAAATGATGAAGGGCGTTTTTATATATGAAACAAGTTCATGTGAAGTCTCTTCGTGTGACATGAATCAGATGCTTGAGCTAACTCGAAAAACAAAAAGCTTTTCCCGAGAAACAGATTTGTGTTACTGGATGCTTTAAGATTCTGGATCATTTAAATACGTTAATTATCAAAATAAATGACACACTGCTGATAATAATAATAAGCCAACGAATCCAACTTTATATCCACAAAAAATAAGTACACTGTGACATTAGTTTCAGCCATTCACAACAGTCTAATTTACATAAAAAACATTTTTCTTCTGTTTATTTATTTCTTCTCCTCCTGCCCTTCCTTCTCCTTCTGTTTCTCCTCTTCCTGTCGTTCACGGCCAAATTCGACCACCAAAGGTTTCCCAAGCAACCGGTATCTGTGGACTAACTGCAAGGCATTCTGGGCCGTTTCAGCATCTGCCAAAGAAAAAGAAACACGCCAAGTAACACCCCAAGGAAAGAACCAAAAAACTAAATAAGGAAAATAACAACTCCCACTCTCTGGATTTCCGGTTTCATGAGGGGAGAGTCTGGAATGAAAGGACCCCCGTGGAGCTGCAGAACAAATGTAATGTATGTGTTTTGAATCTCTGTAAGGTTTTCTTGTGGACAATTTTCATCAATTTATCATGTTTTGGTTTTTTCTAGACAGAATGTGCATGGATTGATGTTGATTGTAGTAAAAGACTTTTCTGTTAAGCCTAGGCACGCCATAGCACCACGAGCTGCTTTCGTGGCTTCCGCCATTTTGATTTCAGGCATGAAGCCACCAGTAGCAGCAGAGAATTTGGAGCAGGAGCCTCCTGATACCAATCCCCTTCAACCACTACACAACCACCTGCTCTTTTACACACAGGGAGGTTTCTGTTGTGGTTTAACTACGCCTCTAACGCCTAGTTACTGTTTGTGCCAGGTGCCATCCATAGTGAGAATAAAAGAGGTTTCTTTAGTAAGCATAAGGGGAGGCCCAACAAACAATAACACGCTCTAACGCCTCACAGACAAAGCAGCCATGCCCCTAACTCTAATATCCAGGTGGACGAGTCATTAAAACCCCCATTCCCCTTCAGTGGAGTGGAGAAAGTCCACCCATAGGCTGTAAGCATACTTGTTAACATGCTATTTAACATGCCCCTCTTTCAGCCATTGAGGTGGTCCCATCAACAAATTGGATTTTTTGGTAAAAACCAGCTGGACCAATGATGCTTTAGCAGAATGTCAGCATTTTGGGCGCAGACTCATTTGCGATGCTACACTTGCAAAAACTGAAACAACATGTAGTTTTTTGTGTAGAAACTAGTGTAAAGAATTACTTTAGCAGTCCCGTTCATTGAGTGCTATCTCCTTGAACGCCCCCTGCTGCACACCTAGCTGTATTGCAGATCATTTTGCCCTCAGACCACCCGACTCTCACCCTCTTATCTTTCTCACCTGGCAGAGTGATGAAAGCCTGACCCTTCATCCTCCCAGTCAGCACCCGGTAAAGCACCGGGGGCCTGTCCGTCCTCTCAAATCTGGAGAACAGCGCCACCAGCTGGGCCACTGACGCCTGTGGGCTCAGGTTCTTCACACACAGGACCTACACAAAGAGAGAAAGCACAGTGAAGCTGGTCATGTTCTGTAGCGCCCATCTCTTGACTGTCGCACTGTGTCGTGTTGAAAGTATATCTGATGATACCAGGATGTGGCCCTCTGTTTCCAGCTGCAGCTTGGATGTGCTCGCAGGAAACTATAATTACAGTATACAACAATTATCATCAAGCTCAATTTACAAGTGAGTGCCTCTCAACCTGCACATCTTAAAGGTTGTTAATTGCTGTGAGATGATTTGTTCCATTTTAATGTGTCATTTTAGCAGCGCTACTGTGCAGCCAACATACAGCTTCACTGTGCCTTTAATGTTATCCTTATGGGGAACAGGGAATAAATACACCACACGCAGAGGTGGATGTGCACACTTTCAGATGATGTAATGCCTTTATGTTAGATAGAAACAACAATCTGGGAAGTGCTGAGAGCAGAAACTGTGGAAATAATCATTTGGTGCCACAGCTGCCCTAAAGATAAAGGAACTGATCTTTCAGGATCATCGTGAAAGTGTGAGGTTTACAAAGGTAGCTGCTGAGACCTTGGAGGGTTTCCCCGGCTGGTAGTTTCGGAACCTTGGAATGCTCCGGATCCCTTCTTCTGATTCCCGGTTCTTTAGGATTTCTTCATCTGTAATTGTCTCAATCTCCCCCGTCACAGTCAGTGGTCTGCTTGGCCCCACCTTTGCTGTTCCGCACAAGCTGCTGATTGGCTGGCTTATATTAATCTGTCTCGGAGGAGCCAGTCGCAGATGCTCTGGTTTGTTTTGAACATGCTGATTTGAGGTGTCTGAAACTGAGTCTGTCTGGACGGATGAGCGACTGTTTCCAGCCTGCAGGTCTGACGGACTGTCAGAAGTGTCTCTTGATTGATTTCTGTCTGTCTGTTGGTTTTGTGATTGGTCAGATTCAGCTGTGTGTGGCGCTCCTGTCGGTTCTCCCTCAGATTTGTGTTGTGAAGCTTGTTTCACCTCCTGCTCCCTGAGAACTTCTCTATAGATAGAGTCCAGTGGGTCAGAGGATGACGCCCCCTGTTGGTTCTCCTTCTTATCTTCATCTGTGATGGAAACAACACAGGTTACACTTTCCTGACATGACACAATTATGACAGATGACTGCAGATTTTTTCTACATTTTGAAATACCATACCGTACTACGGTAAAAACAAGTACAATTATTGTCTCATGCTGGGTCAAAGGACGGGGAAGATAAATGTGTTTCAAAATGGACAACTTAGGTAACTGTCCCCTCTGAACTCCTGCTTAGACTTCTGTATATGTAGGAGCAACGGGTCATATGACCTGAGAGCTTGGACAGGAGTGTAGAGGTAAAGCAGCTCAGAAAAGACCATTTAAGGATTTAAAGACAAATACGAGAACTCTGAAACTGACTCTAAAGAGCACAGACAACCAATGGTGTGAGGCCAGAACAGGTGCTATGTACCTTTATTTACATGTAAAGCAAAAGGCACGATGCAGCTTTTTTAACTAAGCGAAGACATAAGAGGGAAGACTGGCTTTGTCCAAAGTAATCCAGTCGAGATCTCAAATGGTTACTGTCTCCAAATGCTGCCTAGAATGTATAGGTTTTATCTTTGCCAAGCTCCTTACCTCAAAAAATCCAGACTTCATGTCATCAAGACCTACAAGATGTTTTTTAATTGAAAAGCCATCCGTCCACTTTAACAGGACATAGATCTGAGTATCATTAGCATAGCAGTGAAAATAGATCCCATGCTTTCTAAGAATGAATCCAAAAAGAAGTGCAAAAAGCAGTGGCCCTAAAATTGAGCCTTGTGGGACCCCATATGGCAGAGCAGGAATCAGAGCCAGCAAGGCTGATAATGCTCATCTATTTTTCTCTGCTAAGAGTACACAGTTGTAAGTCAGTAGCGGTTAATTTTGATGGTTACTTCAAACTTTCTTCTCCTGAATGGCTGCCCCTTGAACAGCATGTGGGCGGGGCTTGCGTGCTTCAAATGTTTAGATTGGGGATATCCGCTTTTTTTTTTTTTTTTACATGATATAGACCTAATAGTAGAAAAAACTGCCTGAAGTGACGTCTTTAGAGCCGCCTGAAGTTTCAGCTTGTACAAACAATGACCTCATTGCTGTAAAAGTATATTTATGGCTCAAAATAAGGAAGGGTTCACTTTTTAAATATAATTTAATAATTTTCAAAGTGAAAGCAGCTGTTGCCTCTCAGATGAGAGGTCAACACTGGAGCTTCCTTACTATCAGTTCCACAAAGAAACCACAACTAGTCACTTCTAAAACAGAACTGAAGCTGTGTTAAAGGTATCATGTATGGCCCATAAAGTCAAAATCATACAATCCCTATTCTGGCAACTCTTTCAAACTGCTGTAATGCTCTCGATCAAGACTCTAAAGTGTAATATTTGAGTTTTGACCTGTGACTTCTTTTTCACCAACAACGCTGTACCTCGATGATAGAGCGCTGTGAGGAAACCCAGGCGGTCATTCCCATGAAACAGGGCTTGTTCAATCTCCATCTCCCGGCGTGACAGCGGCCGGCTGGACGCAAAGCGTTGTGGGCGGGACAGAAGCTCCATCCGGGCGGCGATTTTGTCTTTAATTGCCTGCAGGCGCTCTTCCTTTGCACCTGGAGCTGCGCACACACCGTGGGACTGTGTGGGAAGAAAGGCATTCATGTAAAGGACATGTGCATTAGCCTTGCTTGAGTGTTTTTCTCTAAAAATAATCCCTCAAAACTTTTGAGAAACTCTTACATTGATGCAATAAAAAAAATTGTGCATACTCTGAGATGAAATTGGTGAAAAGATCCCCACAAATTCATAAGGAAAAACCTCAAAGTCTCTGAGATTTAAGTTACGCATTAACCAGTGAAAACTTAAATACATGATCATGTTGGAGAAACTCTACTATCTCGTTTACCCAGGTTTCCCAAAAAAAAAAGGTTTTGGACACTTTTTCCGAAAAGTCTTTGACACAGTTGTATAATGGACTCACAACATGTCTTGTGGTGTGGAAACACTCCACACCACAAGACAAACCCAGCCTCTTTTGTTTGGAGCCGCCTCTCTGTCCTCCGGGGATGTTTTACCTTCTCTGCTGTCTCTGGTGCATCTCTGCTCTGCCACAGCTGGATCTCGGTGTCATTCAGGCCCAGCTCCCGCAGGCTGGCCAGTTCCTTCTCCCCATCCTGCAGGGCTTGGAACTGGGAGAGACTCTTCACTCCCGCTGCCTGCTCCCCAAACGGCCGATAAAGCGCCGCTGGGGCGAAGCACTGCCTCTTGGCTACACATCTGTTAGACAAAAATGATTTCAGAACGAGATCAAAACTAAGCTCTGGAAAAGCAGCTGTAGCCTTATCTGAGACTCTGGTTTAAAGGTCACATGGCGGCTTCAGATGTTTTAGAAAGAGAAAAGACTGTGTGTGTTTCTGTAGCCCCGAGGGCTGTGCTGCTCTGTGGGACAGTGAGGATAACATGACACAGCATCTGACGCTTTTGTTCGAAGCACCTCACAGTAAGGAGAGTGTGGGATTTTTCTTTTATAAAGCACAGAGCGTTCAGTACAATTGAAACGGCATGGCTTTGTCCTCCCACTGAGTAACACAAAAACAGGTCTGATTCTCTCGCTTTAATTTTTATATATTATAACTGTGTGACACGAATTTTATCCAGCGAGAGGTAAACCACAAGCTCGCCAAAACTAAATATATATCAAGCAGATCTGACTTCAGTTTGACCAATAAATGATATCAGTATTAGATTTAAAACTGAGCTGAATTAAAAGACAATTTATGGATTTTATGTCAATATTGACAGGGTTCACAGGTGATCAGGGTCCTTCAGCTGTTCCACACCCTTACTTTAGAATAGAATATCTTTAATTCACTGTAACATTTAACACATACAAAGAAACTGAGTGCAATTCCAACATTGCAAAGGTTGAAAAGTGGGGTACACATATACAAAGCACTAAACTACTGCATTTAAACTTCTTGCCATTTAAATCAAGAGGTGATCAAACTTTTCAAGTTGTATCTCCTAAATTTTGAAACAGACTTCCACAGCTCATCAGGTCTACTGAATCTTTTGATCTTTGATTTTTTATGCCTAAAAACTTATTTCTGTAGGTTTGAAAGGGTGAAAGATTATTTTTGGCTCTTGTTCTTCTAACGTGTGTACGCAGGAATGAATATCTGATCATGTGTTTGAAAGTCTGAATATGTATATTTATCTTATGCATTTATTATTATTATTATTGTTATTGTTGTTGTTGTATTTATCTTTATTTTTTTAATTTTTGGAGGGTACCTTTCAGTGAGTGCATAGTGTCTGTTTTTGCAGAATATATTGCTATACAGCATTTGTGTAGATGCTAATGCACTGCAGGAGGTCACAGTGTGGTAGATGTAGATGAGGTGTCATATCTACTACTTGTCCTCAGTTCACTTAATATCTGCAGAACTGAAAGAAAATCTACATGACATTAGGGACAAACATTGAAGTTTGTGTACATGATGTGATATTTCACCATACTGGACTCTAAATTTTGCACTGTGCCTCAACGTTATGCAGACATCATGTATAATGCTTTCTCCTGTTCTGACCGTTCAATGTCGACGTCAGTGTGGAGCTGCTGCAGCAAGAGGCCATGCAGCTGCCGCTGGCCCTCGGTCTCCTGCTCTTCCAGCAGCGGGCCATCCTCACAGGGTCGCCGGGTCACTCTGACAAATTTAACACAGACACACAGCAGTTCAGAGACTCACTGGATGCTGATATAAAAGAGATATACCTTTTAAAACTGGCTAAAAAGGCCACAACTAAGTTCACAAGACTGAATCAAGTTGGAGGTGTCAACTAGTACGGCTTTCTAGAAAAAGTGCCTGAAATCACTAAACCACATCTGATGCAAACAACAGTAATAACATCTGTATTTATTTTAGCTTCCCGGAATTCTCAAAATAAAATTAACAACATTGTGAAAAATGACCTCAGATCACCTGCTTACAACTAGTGCTGGGCCATTGTTGACAGTA